TTGTGCCAAACGAAAACTCGATCTCCGCTTATGATACGGACCATCAGACAGCGTGACCCGTCTCGCCAGATCCTACGGGGGTCAAGTGAATCAGGTGACTGTCTGGCTTCCTGATGAGCTCTCATGGCAATTCTCTGGAGATCCAGAGTGATACGATCTTCGTCGGAAGGATTTGCTGACAACTGTTCAGAAGTACTCGTCTCCACATCAACCAAGTCGGGTGGTCGTATCCCAGTTGCGATCTCCAAACAAGAATACCCTCAGACCGTCAGTTATCAAGTTCTTGCCCAAGCCATCTTCTTGACTGTTTGTCAAAGAGTAACCTTGTCAGCATATCCTTCGTTAGACAAGGCCTTTGCCATAAAACAACCAAGTGCGCTTGAACAACCGCGCTGCAGTCTCAGCTCGAATAGGACATGGAGCTCGAGGTCCACATGGATACGGAGTGACGCAATGAAACTTGTAATAAGCCATGGAAGAGTCTGTGAAAAATGCTTGGTCTCCAACATTCTGAACACAGCTGTTCTCTTCAGTCATTGTCTGAATGCACCGAGAGTTTCATGCGCTTCCAAGCTGGTGAGAGGAGATTGAAGCACCATCCGCGATGACCAAGGCTAGATAAGCTTTGTTCGCAAAATTGATTTCCTCATGATCTACGAAGATCAGATCGCCAAAAGATGATGCCCTTGACCCTGCGATTCTTGCTTGCGGAGGTGTTGGCACTGAGGTGCTGCAGATACGACAACCCTTAGCGATGCGGTCGTACTTGTCGTAGATCTCTCCGGGCAGCCTATACACGCTGGTCCTTTGTCGAAACTGTGCAGAGGTTGATGCTGCGAAGACGCCCCTGAGACCTCTTGGCCAGGCAACGGAAGCGCAACCATCCTAGGTTTTCCCCAACGAGGGAAATCACAGCAATGATGCTGCTAAGCTTCAATCACTGCAAGTGACTCCAGAGTACAATTGAGCAATCATGCATCTACACGGTTGCGCCAAGGACCAACAACCTTCTACTCGAACAATGACAGACTAGAGTTCCATAATGACATAAGACAAAAGCCGAGACCAATTTGGTAACTGTCAACCAACTGAGGTGTGCCATGCCAATGCCACATCTCACAGCAGCGCCCAAATGTGCCAATGAGACGCGCTCGTGTTCGCTTAACTGTCAATGAACGTAGCATGAGCAAAGTATACAATGATCACACAGACACTGATGAACACAAGGGATCCAAGAGTTGCAACGCAGTCATATAGTGTATAAATGTCACGTCACTACTGTAAATGACCTGAGAGCAGATCCTCGTGTAGCTCAAGCGTGCTGAACAACGATGCTCCAGAGCAAAGCAAAGTACAACCGGTACCTTCCCCCAGAGCTTCCGGTCCCTCCTGTTTCTTGGAGCTGTCTTCAGGCTTACCTTTGTTCATGCTATCGTCCAGAGATCCAACCTTTCCTCTGGTAGGATCTCGGGTTTAGCAGGGACCGGGGTTCGGCTGTCAAATCCTCCAGGCATCCTGTGTTTCGACCTTGCTCTTGGAGTAGTCCATGCTCGAATTGCCTTTGGTGTCCAGGGACTCCAGAAGGATAGGCGTCATTCCGTACTTGGGGGGCTCGTACATCACTTTCCTCATCTGCTTGTGGATACGTATGAGGTCCTCCATGTTGGCTTCATCAACCACCCACTCATCGTCGTTTGCGAAGACAAGTTCCTTGGGAGGTGAGGAAGCTGGATTTTTTGTGCTTGTCGAAGCGAACCTTCCACATGAGATTGCATGAAAAGTTCCCAAGATTGAAACTGCTCAGGAACGCCTTATCCGGATGGAGGTTGAACTGGAGTCGTGCATTGCGCATCAGTGGCAGGGACATCAAGATGGGAACGTGGCTCTGCTCCGCAATGTCCAACTTTGTGGACTTGTCCTGCACGGCCACTCGGGATGCCATCGCTCTGGTACAGTCCAAATCCAACACCCCCGCCAAGTCGGCGTCAAAGGCTGAGTGGCGAAAGCCGTCATCTCCTTCACCATGCTCGTAAGGCACTTGTCCTGGAATCGAGCCCCGGGGAATGCTGTTCCGGTTATCTTCACCTGTGTGAAGCGTACCGGCGAGACACCGGCCATATACCTTGACCTGAGTGTAGCACACCGGGTATCCGGTTGCTTCCACCTGTGCGGACAGTACCTACCCGCCTCCACAAGTGTGAAGCTCCCCGTTTCCCGGGAGCTCCGCTACCACGTTGAAATGTAACCTGGACATATTGACCCTCGCAAAGCGTACAAGTCTACCGGCAACGCAGGAGTCTCCTTTTTTCACAGGTGCACAGCTGTGATTATGATCTCTGCTAGAACGTTGAGCAGCAAACATCAGCATAGATGCATGCAAGTGGTACGTGAAACAAACATGCACCTGGATGTGTAACATCAGTATTTCAACCCCGCGCTCAGGCACCTCCCACTTGAACTGCATGTTGTGTTGTTGTTATCTTGTAATTGTGTTTTAAAAGGCTGTCGTCTTCTCTGAACCGATGATGTTCGCATGCCGAATGAAGAGACGAGCTCGAGAATTTGGTAGACGGAAGGAGAGGGGAGCCCATCGTGAATTGAGAGAAGCGAGCGCGTCATGTGCGTCGACAGGTGCATGAGAAACGGGGACCCTAAACCCTAAACTTAAACCCCGAGCCGGTAAATTGCGCTTCCGCATAGGCTCTGCGCGACTCGGCTGGGGAGTTGGGATCGGGAGCCTTCTTTTCTCTCTTACGTGCTGGTATTGTCATGTACTTACAGTGTTGTGTCGTTCTACATTTCCATGGGTCTCTTTTTTTTACTCAATCGAATTGTGCGACGCACGGTTGCTAAGTAGTGAGCCTCGTCTCGCCGAAACCTGTCGGTACATCGTGTTTCATGGCCGAATGGCGACAGGTCGCGGATCTTCGCAGTGCCGTCTGCTGTTGTGTACTTTCCGGCTGCTGGTTTCAACTGGTGTCTTCTACATGCAGCATGCAGCATTAGCCAAGGGGTAGAAGCAGTGCATTTGATGCGGAGCTCATTTCTAGCGGTTTGTCTGTTGTTGCAGTCGTGAGTCCCATGGGCCGGCAGCAAGATGGAGTTCCGTGCCTTCGCAGGCTCCTGTTTGCTGCGGCAATCTACTGTGCAGCCCGCCGCGATTGGCGAGGCCATGGAACTTGCGATTCAGCGTGCAGTGCACGTGGAACGAGCGGGGCGGGGGGGAGCTGACATTCGCGCAGCGGTTTTCGGGTCCATGCGAACATGTTAGCGGCGGCTGGCCGAGGCCTGACCTCAGGGCTTCCGGGAATGCCTCCGTGGGCAGGGCGTCCGTGCCCTTACAGGGGCCTGAGTACTAGGACCAGTTTTCTGGATGAAGGTTTGTGTATATACGCTATGTGAACATGAACAGCAATTGAGGACACAGGTTGCTCTGGCAGTTTCCGTGGCAGTGGTTCACGATAACTTTCGGCCGATAGAGCAACTGCACTAGGAATACTCGGACTCGGGACCATCGAAGATGGTGGCTTCAGGGTCGGCGTTTCAATGCTGGGAGGCTGAACGGCCCACAAATGCAGATCTGCATACGCCCAACTGTGACACCGCCAGCCCTAAAGCGCACCGATCAACTTCGAGATGGGTGCCACGCTTCATGCTTGCGTATGCTTGCCCCGAAGTTTCACGTTCGAAGGCAGGCTTGAGAGTCCTAAGTTTCTTTAAGAAGCTTATTGGATCTTATTTGCGGCGGTTTCGAAGTCTTGCGGGTTTGGTCAGGCGCAGGGGTTGGGTGCTGTCGCAACTATCAGAGAGGCGCTCTGCACGTTCAGAGGTGTTGTGACCCGAGCGTGAGAAGTCTTCACAGAAATTAGAAGAACGCTTCGAGAGCGCCACTCCCCCAATGATTCCAGACGGCATCGGGTCCCAACAGCATAGGCATAGACGCTGAGTTGCAGTTTTGAAGCATTTTGAAGTCTGCACATGGAGAGGGAGATCCTGCTGAAGCAGGCATCTCCTGCAGGGAACGGCAACAGCTTCAGTCGCGAGGCTCGCTGAAAAGTGTTGATCTTGTCGCGGCAGCATATTTCCGTTCGAGACGGTCGCGGGGTAGTCGACTGTCGGAATGCTCAGTGCCAGATGTTGCTGGTCCCGACGGGCTCAAGGTGCGTGGGCTTAGCGGTGCCAGTTGCAACCCTGGAGCCGAGCCAACGCTGGGCCCAGAACATGTCCACACGTCTTCGGAGGACGCGTTGGCTTGGGTTTGAGAGATCCTTCAGCTTGGACGCAGACTCTCGTAGACCAGGGGGACATGCAACAGCGCGCGTGGACTATCCCATGGCAGGGGGTCTTGTTCCGGATTCCGTTGGCAAGGCGTCCGTACAATGGCAGCAGCGGTGTCTGTCTCACCGGATCTTTTTGTGTGGGTTCCAGGCCTTCCGGCCCTGCAATGGCAAGGCACAGACGGAGTGAAGCTCCAGGCTTTGTGCCAAGGGTCACTAGTGCAGAACCGGGGGTTCTTCTAAATCATGCTTGCAACACACATTCGATGATTGGCAAGGCTGCTTCGAAGCGAACTGCAGTCCTCCCTTGGTCCTCCGTCCGGGTTTCGGGCAGCCAAAGGCTGAGAAATGTTCCGCGACTGCAGGGCGAGAGAGCAAAAACACACCATAAGTGCAAGCAGCTTTTGATCATTCGTCTTCTTGAAATGTCTTCTAAACTTACTTGCTTTTGGGGCATTTTGACGGCGCTTGGGTGCTGCAAGCCTTTGCGGCGATCAGGGGCAGATCCGAGAGTTAGTTTTTTGAAAGGTGAAACTCGTCTCCCACGGCACCTGTAGTTTACTTGTGCTATCTTGTGCTATCCTTGCGCTGTTGGGTCACAACGCTGATCAGTTCGTGCGTTGATGGCATCGGTGACGGCTCTCGCTGCATGGATTTGTTGGTGAACACACTTCTGCTGTGTGGGCACAAATGTCCTCCCGGTGAAGGGTGCTCCCCGGCGCGATGTTCCGAGCTCTTGTCCAGCCAGCGCTGCGCTCGTGCTTGCTTCTTGGTGTGGGGCGACTCTCTGCGGCGAGAGGCTTAGTGCCGGCCATGCGGGAGGTAGGAGAGCCCTGTGCTGGATCTTGCATGCGCTGCTCACGACCCAGGCGTGGAATGTAACATCCGGGCCCCATCCTCAGCTGCATATCGCCTTCCCCCCCCACTGACTCATGGTGCAGCCGTAAGCGGGAGGGTGAGTTGAGGTCGTGCACCATTGATTCAAATGGTTGCGTCAGCTCCACGAACTACCCGAGCTCCTTTCCATCATCTGATGCTTGCACGATCCAGATTCCCGAGGGCAACACCAGGCCAATCGTAGTGGTCGCCTTCGACATTGAGGACAGCTGCTGTGACAAACTGTGGGTCAACGGCATAGAGTATCGCGGCGACGATTCTATCGACAACATCGTGCCGCAGGGCACGATCTCGTGGGATGCCGGATTTTCTTCTTATTCTAGGGGCACCCGTTGGAAGATTTGCCTTGGAGAGGCTCCCGTGCAGGTGCAGTGGGCTTGACATGTCAAAGAGGTCCGAGGTGAGAGTTGGAGCCTTAGGAGTCTCTTCAGTCTCTTCCTTTGCTTGCTCCTTCCCGATGAATCGTCGACTTGCTCATTTCTGCTAGTAGCTTGTTGCAGGTTCCGGCGGTCTTGGTGCTGGATGGCCACTGCGATGCCGAGGTCAACGGTCGTTATGAGCTTCGGGCCTACACTGCTCGAAAGCCAGTTTATGAACACACTGGTGGGAAGAGGTATCTCTACTACAAGCCAGACTGTGCTGATGATCCTGAATACAGGCGTGACTTCGAGGTCCCCGCGTGGACGGTTTCCCGCTTGTACGAGTCGTACCGGCGTCCTCCCTTTGATTCCTACTATAATGACAGGGAAAATTATGTTGGCTGCCGTTCCCGAGCGCTCCCTGGCTGAGGGTCCCTGAAGAAGGGGTTCTTTATAGGGTTACTAGAGTATAAATCTGGGGCTAGTATGGTACATCATATCATATCATGTTATAGAGTTTAAAGTGACTACTATAGTCTATCACGTCATAATGTATGACCTTTGTTGATTAGAGGGCCTGGGCTTTGACAGTTGCGATTGAATTGCGTGCGGTGCTGGGCTTTCCTGAGGTTTGGGGTTTCAGGGTTTAGGGTTTTAGGAGTTTTAGGGTTTTAGGGTTTTAGGGGTTTTGAGAGTTGTGGTTGAGGGTTTCAGGGTTTCAGGGTTTAGGGGTTTTTAGGGTTTCAGGGTTTAGGGTTTCAGGGTTTAGGGTTTAGGGTTTTAGGGTTTAGGGTCTAGGGTTTTAGGGTTTAGGGTTTCAGGGTTTTAGGGTTTTAGGGTTTTAGGGTTTTATGAGTTTC